GTGGTCACTTCTTTGACAAGAGTCAGGACCCTGCTATGACTTATGATATACTTAGCAGGGAAGTGGTTGCGTTCGAGGCGAAGTCTGCGTCGATTTCCACCTTCTGGCACAAAGATTTAGACAAGGGCAAAAAGTGGAAGGGCCGCACTATCTCAGGGCAAGTCAAGACCAAGGATAGCCTTGTGCTCACTTTAGATGAGGGTAGTGTGGACGAGATCCCCTACGACCAGATTGAATGGGGGTTCAAGGAGGCAGACAGTAGTGTGGGCCAGGGGAGGACTTACGCTGCTGTCGCGGTTGGAGGGAGGCCGCAAGGAGGACGAGGCCAAGGCCAAGGGGGCCGGGCCTCAGGGAGCCGGTTCCAGGGCGATCAGGGGGTTGGCGGCAGAGGAGGGAACCGCCAAGCGGGAGGTAGGGGTCAAGGTCCCCCGCAAAACCGTCCTAGGAACAGGTCTCCCTATAGAGTAGGAGGATGGCATCCAGGGCTACCTCAGGGTAGGCCGTGGAAATCTTTGGGTCTGGACCAGGCTTTATGGCAACAACGCTTGAACCGGGGCCAGTGCATTTTCTGCGGTGACCCGGGGCATATCATCAAATATTGTCCTAAGTATCGAAGGACCCGAACGACTGCTCAAGAGCCAAAAGGCAGCCGCTGGTAGGGGTAGCAACTGCCCCTACCACTAGGCCATGTGGGGAAAATAGCGCTAGCCGGCAGGAGACTCCCACACCACATGTGCCTACGATAAAGGTTGCAGGCCGGTGTCTAGACAGCTGTCCCGAGACTGCTTGTGTTAGAGTTTCGCTAGACACCTCCCTCACAGGCGTGGCGGAAGAGTTGAAGGAGAGGAGGCCCGCCTGGGCCAAGATGAAGAAGGAGAATAAAGGGCAGCTGATTTTATTAGATGCAGAGATTTTTAGAAGTAGAGTAGGGGTCCGAGTAGACTCAGGGGCCACCCGCAGCTATATTAGTAAGCAAGCGCTGCAGAAGTTGAGGTTGGGACTTAAGGTCCAGAAACTGACAGACCCCATAGTTAGTATCCTCGTGGACAATCGTACCATGGTTATAGAGGATTACGTAGAGGGAGTTCAGGCGTATTTCCGCCTAGAGAAGGATGGGAAGGTGGAGAAGGTCCCCCACTCCCTGACTCTCCTCGTAGAGGACAACCTCCCGTTTGATGCAGTACTGGGAATGGATTGGGGAGAGGCAGTTCGGGCCACGCTCCATTTGAAGGAGCACGAGTGTAGGCTCCCTAGTTCGTCAGGCGAGGCCAAGACTGCCCGCCTGTTCCATGTGTCAGGGGTAGAGAATTCCTTGGCACACTGCTGCCTTAGTGCCCCCGCGTTCGCCAGACTGGTGAAGAAGGAGGGATTGGAGGAACAAGTCTTTGTTGCCTATGTCAGGCCAGTGACTGAGCCTACGGAGGAGAAGCCGATGGACCCCGCGATTGCCAAGCTGCTGGAAGAGTTTAAGGATTTGACTGAGCCGCCGACAGGCACGGTGCCGCGGCCCATCCAGCACCGTATTCAGATAGAGACTGGCAGTAGAACTCCTAAGGGTGCGGTGTATAGGATGTCCCCGCGGGAGTTAGAGGAGCTGCGGAAACAGTTGGACGAGCTCCTTGAAAAGGGTTGGATTAGGCCCAGTTCGTCTCCTTTTGGAGCCCCTGTTCTCTTTGTACCTAGGAAAGAGGGAGAGCTAAGGATGTGTATAGACTATAGGGGTCTGAATGCTATTACAGTAAAGAATGCTGAGCCACTGCCTAGGATTGACGATCTCTTAGATCGAGTGCAGGGGGGCTAAGTATTTCTCTAAGATAGACTTAAAGTCTGGATATCATCAGATAGAGGTACACCCTGATAATCAGTATAAGACAGCCTTCCGGACTAGGTACGGGCATTATGAGTTTATAGTGATGCCCTTTGGACTAACCAATGCGCCAACAACTTTCCAGCGCTGTATGAACGATTTGTTTAGGCCGTGGTTAGACAGGTTTGTTGTAGTTTATCTAGATGACATTCTAGTGTTTAGCAGGACCCTCGAAGAGCATCAGGGTCATCTCAGGCAGGTCTTGGAGAAGTTGAGCGAAGCTAACTTCAAGATCAATGCAAAGAAGTGCGATTGGGCAAAGACCCAAGTTTTGTACCTAGGCCACGTCTTAGACGGAGACAGCGTTAAGCCAAAAGATAGCAAGATCGCAGCGATTAGAGATTGGCCCACGCCACGTACGCTGACAGAGTTGCGCTCGTTCCTGGGCCTAGCTAACTACTATAGGAAGTTCGTGAGGAACTTCTCCACCATCGCTGCGCCCCTTCGCAGATTGCTGAGAAAAGCGACAATCTGGAAGTGGGACAAGGACTGCACGTCTTCCATGAAGAAGCTAAAGAAGGCATTGATAGAGTATCTGGTCCTTAAGGTCGCCGATCCGTCCTTGCCTTTTGTCGTTACTATGGATGCTAGCCAGTACGACATAGGCGCAGTGTTACAGCAAGACGATGGCAATGGCTATAGACCCGTAGAGTTCATGTCCGCCAGGATGCCTTCAGACAAGGTCGCGACATCTACCTATGAAAGGGAACTCTACGCTCTCAGGCAAGCCTTAGACCACTGGAAGCACTACTTGCTTGGGAGGCACTTCAAAGTCTATTCTGACCATGAGACATTACGATGGTTAAAGACGCAGGCCAAGATGACACCTAAGCTTACTAGGTGGGCCGCAGAGATAGATCAGTATGACTTTGAGCTCAAGCCTGTCAAAGGGAAGTACAACGTAGTCGCAGATGCTCTAAGTAGGAGAGCGGATTACTTTGGGGCAATAGTACATTACCTCGATATAGGGAAGGACCTGCAACAGAGGGTTAGAGAAGCTTACGCGCAGGACCCTATCTATAGTGAGCTCCTTAAGCAAGTCAAGGAGGCCCCAGAGACTGAACCGAATTACCGCACTACCGAAGGGTTGCTTTTTGAGAAGACTAATGTGTCTGACCGCCTGTGCATCCCCAATAGCGAAGAGATTCGTAGTCTGATCCTGGGCGAATGCCATGACACAAAGGGTCACTTTGGTTGGCAAAAGACTTTAGCCAATCTTATGCGTGCGTATACCTGGCCAGGGATGAAGAATGACTGCGTAGAGTATGTTCGCAGTTGCAAAGTCTGCCAGCGTAATAAGAGTTCTAAGCGCGCCCCGCTAGGTCTTCTCAGACCCTTGCCCATTCCGGATCAGCCGGGAGACTCAGTGTCAATAGATTTCATGGACACTCAAGTCAAGAGCAGGCATGGCAAGAGCCAAGTCATGGTCATAGTTGACCGCTTTAGCAAGTACGCAGTTTTTGTTCCTTTGCCTTCAGAGGCCCGTACTGATTTAGTCATACAGAGGTTCTTTGACTGTTGGGTTAGTGAGAACGGAATCCCGCTGTCATGGGAGTGTATGGATCCAAGTTGTTGATGTCATCCGACCGTCATCCAGAGACTAACGGTCAGACAGAGCAAATGAACAAGATCCTACAGCAAGTTTTGTGCATGTACATTAGGCCAGATCAGATTAACTGGGATGAGATGTTGCCCAAAGTAGCTAGTGCGTACAATAACAGCGTGCATTTGTCTACCTGCCGCACTCCCAACGAACTGCACAAGTCCTTTCGACCGCGCAGACCGTTTGAGGGACTCAACCGGGATCAGATTCACAGATTGCCACCCGGGACCAGGGAGTTTGCTGTACAGCACGAAAAAGAACTAGCTATTGTCGTAGAAAACCTCAGGAAAGCCCAGCATAGGATGATAGAGCAAGCGAACAAACATCGTCGCCCTTCACAGTTTCAAGTAGGCGACTTAGTTTGGGTTAGTTCTAAAGAGTTTGCACCTGAGGAGAACATCTCGCAGAAGTTACTGCCCACGTATAGAGGGCCGTGGCCTGTCCTGGAAGTCAAGGGCGGCGAAGATGGACCGTCCTATACCATAGAACTCCCAGCACACCTCCACACGTACCCAGTTTTCCACGCATCAAAGTTGCTACCTTGTCAGACAAGTGACCAGTTTCCATCCCGTAGATTGATGATCCCACCGGATATGGATGGAAGATACGACATAGATGGTATAGTGGCTGAAGATGTTTTCCGAACTGGAGGTAGGGGTCGTCCGCAGAAACAGTACAAGGTTCATTTCAGTTATCAAGAACCGGAAGACGACCGCTGGTTTACAAGATCTGAACTTCTAGAGACAGCTCCCGATATAGTCCGGGCCTATGAGAGACAGCAGAAGGGTAAAGGTCCTGCCTTGGACTGAAATTTTCTCGGAGGACCTCGAATTTAGGCCGGCGGGAGTGAAACGGTATTCACCAGTTCGCAGTAGCGAATGCAGATCCCAGGGCTCGATCCCTAGTTCCCCATCTTACCTGTGTACAGTATGGATGTCAACCCGTAGGCTTGAACCCACGACCTGTAGGACTGCCAGTGGTAGGCAGGGTTTCGTAGGTCACAGGGTAGAAGGGAATCGAACTGTAGACCTGTAGAGTAGGAGTCTAGACAGTTCCGAAGTCGTAGCTGTAGGATGCCTGAAGAGTCAAGGTTGTAGCTGCTACTTACCTGAAAGGGCAAAGTCGTAGCTGCTACAGCACCGAAAGGCCAAGTTCGAGACTTCTAAAAGTGGCCTTTCGGAGTTGGCCTGTGTTCAGCAGAGGCAAGTGGTCAAGTGGTGGTAGTCCACCTAGCCCAGTCAGCAGTCCCAGTCAGTCAGTCCGGTCTTGTTCAGCAAGTACCGTCTGGGACTGTGTGCACCTCGTGGGACAAGGGATACAGGGCAGACCAACACAGTGCAGAAGTATAAATCAAGAGGCTGCGCCCAGCCATTCATTCATTCCTGCGGATGTCATACGGAAGCGCTGGCCCAGCAGCTTGTGCGAGGAGGTCTGCAGTACGCCCGAAGACGAAGAGGGCAGTGAAGTGTAGTGTAGCGATAGGATAGTGGCAGCCATAGMTGCCATAGCTATAGTAGCGTCTGTGGGTGTGTGTGTTGCGTGYAGAGTGTTGCGTGTGGGACATCCAGGGTGATCCAGAGTGCGAACAGTGAGTTGTGTGGGCGCTCAGTCGCCATAGCCAGTTTGAAGAGAACTCCTACCTGGTTACGATATCTTGAGTACTGTGTGGGCGCATGTCGCCAGTTTGCTGTTTCGCTGTTTGCATGCATGACAAGTGTGAAGAAGCCGAGTCTGATTGCAGTCGGCTCAATTGGTGAGAAAATCTGTGGTTGGGGGCAGCTATCTTCAGGTACGTTGTTTCATTACCTTATCTTCCCATCTCAATCTCTTCTTACCGCAAGGAAGTGAGTTCGACTTGAGAGTCCTCTTCTTGGTCAGGAGTCGTGAGCGCTCTACCTTGACAGTCGACATTCTTCCTGGTGGCGCATCTGGCAGGAGAGGGCATTGCCTCTGAAGGGCCCTGGACAAAGCACGGGTCACGGTCACCATGCCAACCCACGGGAGTAGTGCATGCAGGCCATGCTGCATTGTCCTTTGAGCTCTTTGTTGTGCTGTAAAGCGAACGTGGACTGGCCGGTCCTATGCGAGACGTGTTCCAGACCGTCTATAAAGAACCTCTGGTGGGATCTGATGTCTGGCTGTGATCGTCGTCCTGTCTGCGACGTTAAATAATTCTTCAGGACGGGGGCTGTCCTTAAATTGCATCTTGATCAGCCAGATGATCGGATGTAAGGCTTGTTGCACGCGAGGGTAAACAAAGGGCAGAACTGGTCATAAGCGGATTCCTGGGCACAGGCGGGGACCGATATGCACACCTTAGACACCGCTGTTTGATGATGCAAGACAGGATCATCGGATACAGGTGAAGGGAAGGTTCTAATTGGTGCTTGAACATAAACGCAATGATTTCCATTTGTGCATACATCTGTCCCCTTGATTTATTTTTATTTTTGATTAGTTAGGTGGACAGACTGCTAACACCTAACAGACGGCTTAAGAATAGAATTGTAGTATACTACTGCAGTGAATTGCAATGAGATGCGGGCTGTACACTAACTTTGTTGCTGCCTGTTTTGTGCTTTCCGGGATTCGATCCCGTGACTGGTATTGTGTGTGTGTGTGTTTGTCTGTGTGTACACTAACTATGTTTGTTGGTTCCTTGTTTTGGGCGTTGGAGGACTTGAACCCGTGACTTGTAATGTGTTTGTGGTGTGTGACTGTTTTTGAGGTTTATTGGGCTTGAACCTTGAACCTGTCGCTAGTAGTCTCTACTTCGTAGTCTTAGGCCACTCAGCCTTGTTGTTTTGCCCTTTTCTGCCCTTCTGGGAACTGGTAGGCCCGTAGGTATTTCTTTGTGTGTCCTAGCCTTGGGTTCCCTTAGTCTAGGATTCCATCTAGATGCATGTAGGTAGATCTTGACTGTTGGGCCGTAGATGTT